CCTTCAGCTACTACCCTACACCTTCCCTTTAACATCTTCAATCTTCTGGAAAGTATGATCCTTTTCATTTCTTTTCTCATCTCTTATTCAGTTGGTGCCATCATGTGCCCTCTTGGTTGTTCTTGCTAAGGTGTCATGATGGATAATCACCACCTCCAAAGGTGGCATTCTTCATACACTTAAATTCTCTGCATTAGGTGAGGCTGTGGTCATACATGTGGATTTGGAGTCTGACCAGTTCCTAACCCTGTGTGCCCCTGACACATTTCATAACCCCCTAATGCTCAGTTTCTTTCTGTGTAGAATGGGAGGTAAACCGTCTCACAGGTCATGGGATCTGAGAGAATGTGTGAATTTTTTGGCACAGGGGCACTCTCAAAGTAGTTATGATTGCCCCTATCTCTCTTGTTAACCATAACTGATTTTTCCCTTGAACTAATGTCTGTGTTTCTCCCACCCCCTTATACACCCAATCCATATGTTGAAACCTAACTCCCAATATGAAGGCATCTAGAGGTGGGATCTTCGAAAGGTACCTAAGTCATGCGGGTGGAACCTTAAGAATGGGTTCAGATAGGGTCCCCTAAAAAAGTATCCCAGAGAGCTCCCACCTGTTCCTTCATGTGAGGACACAACAAATAGGCAGCTTTCTAGGAACAGGAAACAGATCCCACCAAATCCCAGTACCCTGATCTTGGACTTCCAGCCTCCAGAATGGTGAGGAATAAATGTTTGTTGCTTTTGTTGTAGCAGCTAGAATGCACTAAGACACATGGCATCCATCAAACCAGGTTTCCATATTTATCCCCCAACTCCAGACCATTATTTGTTATCTCCCTTCTGGGAAATCTGGCCTTTCCTAGGGGTCCTCCTTGTTGGTTTTCCTTTTTAAATTTGCATACATTTAAGGTGGTCCATTCTCACCAGTGTGAGGTGGTATCTCATTGTGGTTTAGATTTGCATTTCCCTGATAATAGGTAATATTCAGGATTTTTTCATATGCATTTTGACCACTTGCATTTCCTCTTTGGACATGAATTTTTAGCTCTTCAGATTATTTTTTGACTGAGTAGTTTGTTTTGTGTGTTGTATAAGTTCTTTGTCAATCTTTGTATCAGTCCTTTATCAATTGTATAGAAGAAATCAAATGTTGTACAAATGTGATTCCACACAGTCCCACTTCTATACCCAGTCCTATGGCCTCTCCCTGCTTTTCATGGGAGTTGGTTCCTAATGGACATCTTGCTCCCAAAATTCTTGGTCAACTTCTGCCTCTGGATAATCCATCCTGCCTCCCTTTCTCTCATTATCCCTACCATCTAGTTTATTTTACCTTCTCACCATATCTAGAACCCATTCCCCTCCTTCCCATCCCAATGCTCTTGGCTTCCTTCAAGATCCTATCATTTTTCACTTGTGCTACTCTCAGCTTCCCAGAGCACCAAGACACTACTGAGGTGTGCATATAAAAAGCAAACCTGACTGTTGCCACACCCTTGTGGCCTTATGTCCACAAGCCCTTGTGGCCTTCCTTGCTGGGGTCTGAGGCCCTTTACCTTTGGCCCCATGGTGTGAGGCCCTTTACCTTTACTGCTTGCCAGTGTCTTATCTGGCTGGGGCATCAAGGCCTCCTGCAGCACTTCCCTGTGCATGCAAGGGAGTTGGAGGCTATTTCCAGCAACCATCTCCCCACCACTCCCTGCCAACCCAACCAATCACCACAGGATTTTAATTATGGGTAATTCCTTGAGCTGCTCCCCATGTGGTGGCTACTCCTGGAGTGTCATCCATCTGGGAAGATCCCAGTGATATTCCAAAACTCTACTGAGGCTTCTTTCTGCTGAAGTCACCCCTAACTCTCCCAGGTCAAGCCTCGCATGCTTCTGCATTGCTTTTGCATCTCATCCATAGGAAGACATCCACATAGCATACCCAGTTATAACATTCATTTTGAATTTTCCACCTCTTACTAGAATCAAACCTTCTAGGGGGCAAGCCATCCTCCTCAAGACCCATCATCAGGAATGTACTGGTAGCCTTTTGAAGCAGGAAAAGGCAGGGATGGGGTATCTCTTAGGGTCTCCAGGGCAACCATCCCTGTCCACCCCTGAATCCATGTCCCCCATGAATGTGGAAGCTTCTGACCCACAACCCTGAGAGATGGTAATTGTTGTTTTAAATCGCTGTGATTGTGGTTGGTCATTATGGCAGCCTTAGAAAACTAATACACTTTAAAATTATTGACTTAAAAAGAATGACATTATTCTGACCCTAGGCCACCTGGCTTTCTTGTGTTTCGAGCCTAACGTTATAATGGTTCCCTTTTTTTTCTGTTTCTTCTGTGTTGCCAGATTATGAAAATTTCACCTCTCATCCACCTCTATGTTGTCACAGACTGACAAACCAGAAACTCAGGCTTTTGGAATATTGTCTAAAATTAGCAGAAACAGTTTCTTGGGTGTCCTGGGAGGGAAGGGCGTGGGCTTGGGGGCTGGGCTTGCAGTTTCTAATTTGGCACTGTGGTGCCTTGGGGTTTTCTTATTTGCTCTTCTCCTAGGTTCCAAATGCCTGTACCATCTCCTGGATAAAAGAGGTTGAGCTGCACTGTGGTGTTCTTGGATTTTAATCATGCTTTTTGATTATATATCTTATACATACAGTCAATTTATATTGCTATTTATATCTTAAAATGACCAGTTTTCCTCATCACAATGAAAGAAATAAAAGTCTCCCGTTGGTTAAAGGGTTAACCGTGTAGCTTAGATTTCTTTTTCCTCGGAGACTCAGAACCTGCGCCAGTGCTCTCCATTTCTTTCACAAAAAGAATCAAGGCGAGGTGCCTAGGCTTTCAATGTGCATTCGCTGTACATTCATAATAAATGTGAACCGAATGGCACATTCATGGTGGCTCCTTGATGTAAATGAAAGGCTGAATGAAAGTTTGGGGGTCCAGCTCACCTCCAAGAGGGTGATCCGGTTCACACTCGGACTGGACCAATGGCTCTTGAATTTCCTTGAGAAACTACTTTTCCTTTCTCTATAACAGTAGTCCCTTCTCCCGGCATCTTTGTAATCAGCCTGGCTTTTTTTTTTTTTCCCACACTGCCGTTGGATGAAAGATCCCGCCTTTGATTGAAATGGAATCTTCCACTATTGAGCCAGCCTTTGTTGAATGAGTCATCGGGGCGGCTGCTCATTGGCTGAGGCCGCTGGAACCCGGGGATTGCCTGGCGCCGGCTGCAGGGCCTGCTTCATTCACAGAAACGCTGGCTCGCTCGCCGGCCCTTTCATTCACACAAACAGCATTTCATTCACATTTTGCTGTTTTTGTCTGCTTCTAATGAAGACCACGGTTTGGGAATGATAGGGCATTTTTGCTTTAGATCTGGGGGGGCTTCGATAGCCACCACAACCATTTATGGGGTGTGTGTTTGCTGTTGCTATGCAAGCCTGGGGAAGGGAAAAAACGAGAGTCAAGCGGTTGCTGGGCTAAGTCTGCGGCCCTGGGAGGGGAGCCGCCGCTCCTCTGCGCTCCTGTCCCAGATGCTGGCCTCGCTGGCCGCCAGGAGTGGCATTCGCTACGCCCTGCTCCAAAAAGCTCTGCATGTGTCACATGTCTAGCCGTGGGTGTGAGAAGACTCAGGGGGCCTCATAACAAGTCAGAGGTAAATTCATGTGCTTGCACAGAAGTAGCCGGGAAACTTGGACAGGGAGCCTCTGTGCCGGGCAGGTCCTCTCCCAGCATGACGAAGATGGCAGACACCTTGGTGACAGGGTCAGTGGTTTTGAGTCTCCACAGACCTTTGGGGAGGTGCCCATGCCCTGTCTCTTAACCAAGAGGAAGGAGGCCTGTGCGTTTCACTTGCAGCCTGCGTCTGACTCCTGAGAAGAATCGTTTTTTTTTTTTTTTTTTTTTTTTTTCTTGTGGATTTGATGTGGAACCAGAGCGGTTTGCCTTTTTTTTTTTTTCCTTCCTTACTGCAGGGTTGCAAAACAACCACTGAAGGGACATTGAAATGTATTTGTAGCGATTCTTAGGCATTTTTCCAGAGCTTGAATACATTCAGTTGGACTAAAGCTTCAAGCCAGCCCCTTTTTTGGAATGGATTTCTGGAGCCTGTTGCCATTCATCAAAGAAGCCTCTCCTTTTTTTGGAAGTAGGTATTCGACTGAACCCTGGCTGAGAAAGACTGCTGTAAATTAGCAGGGAGGACACCTTACCTGAGTCTGTGCAGAAGTTCATATGCAGATTTTTTTTTTTCTGGAGGACTGCATTGCCACAAAGACACTTGTCATGGCCGCTCTGGCGATTTGAAAAGAAACAAGAAAAACCCGGGAAATTGGTATATTATGTTCACCTGGGAGTGAATAATCTCCTTTTCTAGGGGGAGGGGTTATTTAACAATTACTGCTGCTTTCCAAATCAGAATTCAGGAGGATTCGCTGAAGATCTTTTTCTTAAAAAGGCTTCGTCACATTTTAACGCCTCGCTGGCAGACACTGTTGGGCTCTCACAGATGAGCTGAAAGGGAAGAGAAAACCCCAGGACCACAATAATGGGCTTCAGAAAGTTCATGAGCAACTGAAGGAACTGAATTTACCTTTGGCACAGATGCTGAGTGGGGGTGGGGAGGTGAACAATCAAAGGTTGGAAAGAAATATCTGGGAAGGTAGAAGAAGGAAATTTGAGAATTGATTGGCTCTAGAGTGCTGTCAGTGGGTGTATGTGGTTTTTTCTTCTTTTTTTCCCTTTTTTTTTTTCTGCTACAGGAAGTGATTTGCAGTGCTCACCGAGCCTTTGTTGAGAAGGGTCTCCTCTCGGAGTGAGTCATGCTTTTGCTGTGAGCAGCCCCGAGCAGCTGGGCGCTCATCAGAGGAAACTATGACTTTTGGAAAGCCAGCGTGCAGCCCTCCGCAGCCGTCTCCCGGCTCGGGGCTGCGCGGCCGCGGCGGGGCGGGTCGTTAACAGCGGGCGGGCGGGTGCCGCTGCCCCGCGCCCTCCGGCTGGCTGTCCCGGGCCGCCGCGTCCCGCCCAGGGGCTCCAGGCTGGCCTGCTATGCGCGGCAGCCCGCGCCGGGGCCGGCACCAGCAGCGCCCGGGCGCATGCGGCGAGGCCACGGAGGGGCATGCTTCCACGCACCAAGTACAACCGCTTCAGGAATGACTCGGTGACATCGGTCGATGACCTTCTGCACAACCTGTCGGTGAGCGGCGGCGGCAAGGTCTCGGCGGCGCGCGCGGCTCGGGCGGCGACCCCCTACCTAGTGTCCGGCGAGGCGCTGCGCAGGGCGCCCGACGATGGCCCGGGCAGCCTGGGCCACCTGCTCCACAAGGTGTCCCACCTGAAACTCTCCAGCTCGGGCCTCCGCGGCCTGTCGTCGGCCGCCAGGGAACGGGCGGGCGCCCGGCTCTCAGGCAGCTGCAGCGCGCCCAGCCTGGCCGCCCCGGACGGCAGCGCGCCCCCCGGCCCCCGCGCCCCGGCCATGCGCGCGGCTAGGAAGGGCCGCCTCGGCGACGAGCCGCCGCCACGCGCCCCCCACTCCAGCGAGCAGGTGCAGGGCGCCGGAGTCACCTACGTCGTGAAGGTGGGTGAGGGCGCGGGCCGCTGGGTGGGGAAGCCAGGCAGGGAGCGTCCGCAGCGGTCTCCTGGAGGTCAGGAGGCACATGCTCCTAGCCGCCAGCTCGCCTGGCACCGGTAACAGAGCACGACAAACCTGGCCGTTCGTTCCCATCCATCAGGAGGGTGTTTGCGATCCGTGACCTCACTCTATCCTGTTTTATCCCTGCCTACACAATCATGGCATGCCTGTGCCACCTCTATTCCGGTTGTGTCCGGCCAGTGTCCCATTCTGCAAGGGCCCCATCACTGGGAGCTGTGAAATAGGCCTAACCAGGGGGCGGAACACTTGGAAATACAGGGCATCCCCTGCCAGGAGAATTGCATGCGGTGTCACTACTTCGGTTGTGTGTGCCCCAGCGGCAGGGTGGGTGGCTCCTTTTCCCACAAGGAACTTCCAGCTCCTGGCTTGCAGGCCAGATTCTGTCTTACTTTAACATGGGCTGGACTTTCTCACCTGGCAAGGTTTTCTTTGGTGTCTGTGCCTAACTGCTTGGGTTTACAGCTGCAGAAGCAGAATTTGGAACAGTCTTTCCAGGGTATCTACCATTTAAATAGGCCAGTGGGGGCTGAGGATGCACCTCCATCCACAGGCTGGAGATTTTTTTTTTCCTCCAACACCAAGAATTACAACATCATGTCTGATGTGATCCATGAAATTCCTCCCCTGTGCCAGTATTTCATGATATTTAAAAGGTGAATACGCAGCACCATTCGGTTGACCTGTCACATGCTTATGTCCTGTCTGTTGTACAGCCACCAGCCACACGGTGCCCCACAGCTGGCCAGACAGCCTGTGGACCAGGGTGCAGGGGTCAAAGGTGCATATTTCAGTGACTGTCATTCCAGGGTAGGACTTTAAACAGAAACTAGGCACAAATCTATTCCCAGGACATTATCAACATCATTGAGAAGACGTAGGAATCTTCATTTATACATTGAGGCAACAGCCCCAGTTTAGAAATTCAGCAGGCCACATTCTCAGGTACAAGTTTGTATCCTGATAATTTTGGAACCAAAATATTCAAGGAAACAATTAACTTTGTGAATTATCCTTACATGTAAAGTACTTACGAAGTAACGTGACCGTCAGTGTTAAAAATGGACTCTCTTTTCCCTCTGTGGCTGCCTTTTAATTTTCATCTTAGCTTCTGAAAATTAATTAATATATTTTACCAAAAGGGACATAGGTCAGCATAAAATATTCACATCTGGTTGAGTTTGTTATAAAAGAAAATGCATATCCTTTTTGCAATCCTTCTTTAAGTTATATAACCAGGAGCCAAAAACAAAACCAAACTAGAAGGCCTGACAAGTTTGAGTTTAAAACAGAGTATGTTACTTCTAGTATGTTAATATAATTGCCATCTCTATAGAGGGGAAAGCTTATGTTTAAAATAGAAAAATAGCTGTGGCGAAGCTTTTTATACTTGTCATGTGAAACATGGACAGCAATTTTCAAATGGAGGGAGAATTCTCAAACTTATGCCTTTAAAGTTTTCCTAAAAAAAATCATTTGCTTTCTTAAGGCTTTCTCTTGCCTTCTGAATAATGAAGGCAGACATTCAGGTCTCAAGATTGCTTGTGGCTGAATAATGATGACATGCTTAAAGGAAGCTGCTGTGCATGGCTGTCCGGTTGACTTAGGGTCTGTGACATCCCCAGCATAGAACGGGGTCTGCCCAGAGCCATCTAGGTCTGCAATATGCTTTAACTAATGGGCTGCATAGCATGACTGATTGATGCTCAGGGCTCTCAGTCTATCCTGGGTTGTGAATGGTGGGGTCATGTGAAGGTGGGCTCAGGCGTTGTTCTCTGCTTCCTTGGAGAAGTTTGAAATCACACAGCAAAGGAGAGCAGAGGCTAAAAGCTATGTGTCAAGCACACATTTGATGCTTATGCATTCTCGTGACCCTCTGTTGTTGCGCATTTCTGCCTTTCCCAGGTTGAATTTGAAACCATGAGCTTATTTTCTTGAAATTTTACAAACTTGAAAAAAACCCTTAATTTATTATTATTTACTCATTTATAAGTAGTTTTACTGGTGTCTTACTTTTAAAGATTTCTGGTGGATAGAAAGTGGAAATCTTTATAATCTGACTGTATATCATCTCTATCATCTGATTGCATAAAAATGTAAAAACCTAGGGGCTGGGAAAGAACTTATTGTTCCCTTTAACTTAAATTTATTTCTATATTTAGGAAAATCTCCAAATGTTTTCCAGTTTTCTGGAAAATCCATATGCTGTTAATTATAGATTTTCCTCTCATCAAAATGCCTACCTCCAGACAATATTAGGATATTATTTACAAGATTTATTAAAAAATATTTTAACATAATTTACTTACATGGAAGTGAAAACTGCAAAGTCAAGAAGTCTGGTGGGTTTGGATAATCTAGGAAACATCAAACTATTTGCACAGCAGGTTGTAAGATTAATTAATGAAGCATATAAAATTTACAAATGGAAAAAGTTCTGAGCAACACCAGAATTCAGAGCTCAGAGCATGATTAATTAGCCCTGCATGCCATTACTGAGTCTGCTGTTAATATCAGCACAAGCTCATGCAGACAGGACAGCCTCCTGAATTTGCAACCCCCAGGATTGGATTTGTGTCTGGTGGCCTCTGTGGGTAACACTTTGGAACCCCATAAAGATGTCTGCCACTTGTTTTTTCTTTTGGTCACACAAAAGGGAAAGAACTGGAAAGCATGCAGAAAAGAAGGGTCCAACAGCAAAGGACAGTTAATATATTCACTAATTTTAATTCTGTTAAAAAAAACTGTTCTAAATTTGGACCTAAAAGACTAATAAAAACACAGATCTTGATTATGCTTCAGTGTACCTTCAGCTTCTTCCCAAGCTGGATAGGACCCCTAGTGCCTGGGGGTGCTGCTGATGGTCCTTAGTGGTGTCGAAAAGCAAACTCCCATGCTTCACCCAGATGCACAGAGCATTCTTTAGGAAGGAAAGACAGATGTGAACATGTTGAGGCAGCTCTTAAGGAAAGTCAGTGGCCAAGTGGAAAAGTCATGGGAAGACAAACATGGCCTTGAGTTTGGCCTTGATCTTCTGACATGAGGCTGTACCTGGGTTAGCCGGTAGCCCCTGGGTACCCCAAAGAATAGCCCCTCCCCTCTGCTTGTCACACCACAGACTCACACAAGCATATGCAGTGACCACATGTGGGACCTACTGAGTGCCCTTGGTGAGAATTTGGGGTCCGAAGTGAAAGCTATTGCTTCTGTAGCTCATTCACTCCCCAGCATGGAGCTTTATGAGGCAAAGAGAGATGCCCCCTGGTGGAGCTTATCTTAGTCTCTACGGGTGTCCATGGGTGGAGTGCTGCACCTTTACCAAGTTATAGGACATTTTCACTATCAGAGAACTATTAAATAATTTCTCTCATGCTGAATTGGTTTGCTTTTTGGAATGAAACCTTGTTTTTATAAGAACTCTCTAAAATTATTTTGTTTCTCTAATTTGTGAATCTGATAATATTTATGGTGATATAAATTATTTCTTATTTATGAAGGTTCTATTGTTTTTTATAGGTGATCTTTATAAACTGCATGTACTCTAAAATTTATTAATTGGTTTTTTTCACTTGTCTTAATATCTATAAAAATATCTAAATTTTCTTTTCCTTAGCACTATATTCCATTGATAACTATGGAGTAAGGTCACATTAGACAGTCCTTGGCAGACTGACTTCAAATATAGCCAATATATATTATTATGTTGAGGTTGATTTGACTGACTGTTGTTTTAATTCTAGATTAAACAATTTTTCTATGATGTGGAACAGGATTTAAAAGTTGTTTTATTGAAAAAAATCTCATAATATGGGTGACTTACAATTAAATATTATTTAAATAGTTTGAAAACAGTTTAAGAAATTCTTTTGAGATTAATAGACAACATGATCAATTTGATATGGAAAGTGTGTCTTTTTATTTCACACAAAAAGATGCATTAAATGTGTGCATGTACATATGCACCAGACAAACCATATACATACCATACCACACATCACATGTGTCGCACCACACATATTACATATCCCACATACATACCACACCATCCACACATACTATACACAAACATAACATGTTACATATACCACACTCACATCACATACTGCATGTACACACTACACACACACACACACCACAGACAACTTGTGATGACTTTGAATGAAGGTTATTACTTTCTTTTAGTAAATGTCAAAAAAAAAAAACAAAAAGAAAAGAAAAGAAAATTAGGACTCTACTCAAATGTACACACATACACTGAACAATTCATAGATGGACATACATAATATTTATAATGTGTAATTCCTTGACATCAAAGGTGGTAAGACAAAAAAAAAAGAAAAAACACTGAATGTCCTATTTTCAGAACTAATGATCATCACATTCGTTTCTTCTATATTCATGCTTAAGAGAAAATAATTGTGAAAACAGCCTATTGATGAAACTAATCATATGAAGAATTAACATTTTGCTCCTCAACTTCCCACTGGGCTTCATCTTAGAATAGGGCCATATATTGAGGACTGTAGTAATGATATCTCAGCGGCAAATTTGGAAACCCTACAGTGGTGGGGTGGGGAGCCTGTGGTCCCTGGATGACCATGGTGCCTCAGAGCAGGGGTGTGGCCTGGTGAGATGGGGACCCAGTGGGTGCCAGGATCTTGGAACCCAGTGCCACTTGGTCACTTTAGGATGTGGGGCTCTGGAGGCCAGCACACCTTTCTGGACCTTTCTGTGTCTGTGATACTGCTACAGGAGGTAAAGGGCAGGTGATACTGGGCCAGCTCTGGGGCTGGACTGGCTTTGGGGCTGGCCGGGGGCAGTGGAGGCAGGTATCATGACTGGGTTGATCTTCATTCCCAGACCTTGTGCAGTTGCAGAGGGTCTATGGAACGTGGTATTGCAGTATAGGGGTATGCTGACCCCTGGTG